AAGGAAGGAAGGAAGGAAGGAAGGAAGGAAGGAAGGAAGGAAGGAAGGAAGGAAGGAAGAGCTTTTGTCCTGTCCCTCAGGAACTCTCTACTGTGTGTATGGATGGGGAAAAGGATGAGGAATATTGAATATATTAACTAGAATGAAAATGAAATAGAATGATAAATGCTAAAATCAAGATGCACACTAGATGAGTTCATAACACTAAACATTGATTGCAAAAATATATGGAGAACAATTTTCACAGTAGTGTCTGTGAGTAAAACTTTAGAGTTTATTTGATTACAAGCTAGACACCATCAAATAGTGTGGTTTACCTGCTAGAGAAATAACAATCTATGTTTCAAAATAGAAATGTTTTCTCAATATTTGGAAAATCTTTCAGAAACTAAACTTTTTAAACAACAAAGTTATATTTAATTCTGAAGGGGAATTTGAAGAAATTATAGTATTAATATATACAGTTAATTAAACCAAGGCAGTATGTTTAGCATGGGTAAAGTAAGCAATAGAATGAATATGTTGGAGAAAACTATAGAAATCACTGGGTAGAAGAAATGTTTTATTTCTTCATACAGAAGCCTGGAGAAAAATAGAAAAAGTTAAAGAGAAATAGTTGGACTATATTAGAGTTAATTTTTCTTAGAAAAGGAGTAGGGCATTTGGTTATATATTGAGTACCCTATCCCATGAAATATCTAAAAAAACATGAATGGGATAACCACCCTTAATAGATTCACTACAGTAATTTCTGAACGTGGTAAAATATTTGCTTCCATGGCTTCTAAATTCCTTTCAAATGTAAAGTCTTTTTATTTTCAGAGAAAAAGGTCACTTTGGGATGAAATCATCCCAGAATTCTGGGTGAAATACTGTTCCTAGACAAATAAAATACTGGTTATGTAGTGAGCAAGAGGCTAGATGCATACAAAAATAAGATTTGCTATAAAGGAACCTAGTACAAGTTGACTTTGTCAAATCTCATTAAAGCTGAGACCGTTTTTTTCAGAGTAGAGGACTATTTCTAAAATCTTCTTTCTCATCTGAGACCTAGAAGTTTCCATGCTACCTCCAATACTGTATGGAATAAAACGTTTTGCATTAAAATGTATGTGGCAGAGATGGGTTAGCTATTCAAAAGACACTGTCTTCTTTCTGGGCACATAGTTAGACTGTGTTGCCCACCAGACTAGCAGTTAGGTGGGGGGATGTATTTGAGTTTTAGATGATTTAATGCAAGCTGGAGTACAGTATTACACTTCCAGGCCAAGCCTAGCAAAATTTCTCACAAAGAAAGAAATATTTCTTCCAATGTTATTAACCGGATGGTTATCACCACAGTTGTTTTGGCATTGTATATTGCAGATATCAGAGCCATAGAATGGAAGAGGCCTAGGTATCTGAGCTAGTACTTGAAGGAGAGCTGTCTGCTGATGAAGAATGGCCACTTATGAATGAAACATAAGTTTCTATCATATCAGATCCATTAAAAAATTTTGATTTTGTTGCTGCATTCCATATCGTCTCAACTGATATGGGTGTGTATAGTATCATCTCCAGCCCTACATTTTGGGCTAGCTTCAATTTGATGCTGGAGATTCTTAAATACCTACTCATTCATAATTTGTGTATTCATATAATCAATGAAAGCTGGAACCTTGTTTGTTTTGCTTACTACTCTCTAAATAATCCATGGAAGAAGGTTTGTAACACAGTTGGAATGTGCTAAATATTTTTCTAGTGGCCTAGTAAATAATAGAAACTTTGATGAGATTATTTAGTAAAGTAGTATTTTAACAAATATTTATTGCATGCACACTATGAGTCAACTGCAGTTAGATAGGTTCATGCCTATGAGTAAGTCAGACATGTCCCGTTTTCTCATAAAGCCTAAATCCAGTGGCAGAAAATGATAAATTTATTTTGAAAAATACAAGAAAAATATAGTGAGAGTTAGGGCTGGGGCATCATGCAGCACTGTAGGAATAAGGGCTCTGAAATATAGTAATGAAAAAAAGGAGTGCCACTCTAATAATCTGTAATTAAAAAAAATAAAAGTGGAGAGAAAGATCTGAATTAAAGAGAGAAATCAATAAAACTTGGCCATTGCTTGGATGTTGGGAGTGAGGGAGAAGGTAGAGCTAAAGATAATTTCAGGTTTCTGGTTTGAATGACTGGGTGATGGTGGTACCGTTAACCAAGATAGACAGAACCAGAGGAGAAGCAAGGAGGGGAGAAGAATGGATGACAAAGTCAGCTCTGGATGCATATAAATGTATCTGTGGGAATTGTGAGTGCATATGTTCAGTAGGCGCTAGAATAGTCAAGTGTAGCATGCAAGTTGGTAGTCAGGATTAGAGACACAGCTTAGAATTTGTTAGTATAAATATGGTATTGCAGCTACAAGAATGGCTCCTCCTAAAACAGAATAGATTAAAAAAGAAAAAGGCACAGAATCAATCCATGAGAATTACCCATTGTTTCCTAATGTCAGGTTTATCCCAAAATCTGTAGTTAATATCAAGGAAGATGGGGTTCAAAAGCGTTCTTGCTTTGAACATACCATTACCCAGGATGGGAAGAATCACTGCTTCGGGTTCTGGAATATTTTCAGACTGTAGACCTGCGGAAAGATAAAGGACATTAAATAGTCACTTATCATCTCTGAAGACTCTTGTCCCAATGTGTCAGACACCCCCTATTGAAAATAACTTACACAGACATTGATCCTGTTCAAAATGTGATTTATGTGGAACCACACTCATCACTGGGAAACAAAAGCCACTACACATAAATTACTGCTAGACTTTAACATTTGATGCACAACAAAAGAATGTGTGACTGCCTTGGTTTCTGTTACCCATGATGAAAGTGGAATTGAGACACCATCAGCTATAGAATCAAGAATTGTCTTAATATTTATGTTTTGATGTGGTTCCTGAGGTTGCCACGACTGCATAACAGGTGTGTGCAAAGTGAGGTTGTCTAACTCAGAGCTGACCTGGACTTTGGAGGAAACCAAGAAGGAGAGGCCTTCTAAGCTTGGGCACTTAGCCTTGCCAAGATTTATCACAGCAGAAAATGATGATGGGTGACCCTCTGGTCTCCCTCAATCAGTTTGTTAAGTAAATCTCCTCAGTGCCATAGGAAAAGAAAAGTGGTCATCTAGGTATGAACACAAATCTATGTTGACTATTAATTCTGGGCTCTTTGTAATCACTAAGCTATTCTGCCAGCCCACGAAGTGTCCTCTACAATTATGAATGTGAAAGAAGCCAGGCCACAATCTCTGTAATCTTCACTGGCCCTACTCATTGGCACACTCTGAGGGAAAATAAAAACAAACAAAAGCACAATGGAAAGTCTCATTTACACTGTTAGCTTGAATGAAACCACTCAAACTTATTTATATATACTCTGAGGTGACTATTCATATGATTATCAATTTCAAGGACAAAAATTGAATTGAAATCTGTTTAAGTTTTTGTAAAAATCTCAAATAACAATAACCACCTGAGAGGCTTATTCCAGAGACTTTAAGAATAGACGTGAGCTAACAAATGTGAACTACTCTGAATCTTCATACCTTTGTACCTACTAAAGGCAAGACTTACGTAGACAAAATATGGTCCGTTCCCTGCTCTGCATGAAGGAGAGCCAGAGGCTGCCCCACCAAATTTCAAGCCCAGGACTACATGCTGCCTCTTGTCCCATTCTTCCCACCTGAACTGCTGGACTAACTTGACCATCAGTAAATTCAAGAACATTTTCTGGAGGAGGCCTTATTATGGCAGTCGCGTACATGCCAAGACCTTTCTTTTAGAAAGATCTCTCCCATGAGAGTCATACAAATATTACATCTAATTACCATATTCTGTGGCCCTGATAAGAAACTGTCAAGTAGATGAGGAAGACACAAAGCCATGACAACACTGATTGAGGAGGCATCACCTGCCACGTAGAGAGGCAGGCTCCAGGTGCTAGAGTTATCATAGTAGGTTGTACCAGTACCTCTAGGATTCAAGAACTATGCGTTGAAAGGAATGGAGCAATAAGAAGAAACTCTGGCTATTTCACAATGATTCTGGACCCTTATCATTATTTATTGATTGTCTTTAAATTTTTTTGGTGGGAGGAGGTGTTAAATGAAAAACATGCATTGAAAGAAAAACAAGAAATTCATTACCCATAGGTGAGCATTTACTGTGTCACTTCCCTCAACCACTAGGAAAAAGGCTTCTTGCATTCAAAGAACAATTTCTCCTTCTTAATGGCTTCAATTAGCATAAAAGATACCAGTGGCTGGGAGTCCACCAGAGCTACCATCTTTGCTGTGTGAAGGGACTAAGGGACCATAGAAAGCACAAGTCAGATGTCAGGCCCTCAGGAGGACAGAGGGTGGGGGCAGGGAGCTTACAGAATGGCCCACAGCACAGTTCCAGGCTAGTGGACAATGTTTCTCAAAAGAAAATGCAAGGGGACAACTAGAAGAGTCCACTTTTAAAATCCTTGCTTTTCTGTAAACATTGAATTTATTCTCTGAATGCTTCACCACCACTGAAATATATAATATTCCTTCTGGACAGCAAAATTTTGGAGAGAAGTTTTAAAAAGTATTTGATTACAGACCTTAACTCTTTATGTCAGATAACTACATAAGTTCCTAGGGAGCACTAGATTTAACTAACTAAGTAAATCAATCAATCAATCAATCAATCATGTGCCTTGCCAGGAGGACTACAGAATATAGTATGAAGCTTTTCAGACTGTTCTCATGAACTTCAACAAATGAGCTACCACATACTCAGGATAGGAAATGATTTTTAATCCAAAGAAGGCGACTGAGGCCAACTGAATAACAAGAAAAGGAAAAGAGACGGGACATGCAATGGAGCCACTGATACAGAAGAGGGGTCCTGGAGCCAGAGACAAGGAAGTTGCCTGCAAACTAATATAACTAATGAAGCAGTAAGATATGGTCACAAAGATACAGGGCCTCGTGAACTTTAGTCTGAGTTGTTGACCTTACCTGAGGAGAACCCCAGCATCTTTGCAAGGTAGGTGTCCTCTTCACAAATCTGATTGATAAATATTTGGCTTGCCTCGTGCCCTTTCAGAATGACAAGGTCAGTCAAAACTCGGGCCTTATCCATAACTGTAGCATTTTCATATCTTACTTTGTCCATCTCCTCCTGGTTCAGCACTCTCTGGTCTAATAGTTCATCCAACAGGCCATTTATTGTGCCCGCACCCACTGAACGGACAAACAGCTTCCTCTTCTCTTTCAGGACCTTGTCTGTTTGAAGCACAAGGATTCAAGTCATGAAAACAGCCTCATTTCCCTCTCAGCAACATGAGAGGAAATAACCTCCTTTAGATTTCATCCATAAAATGTCCGTCTCCCCACTGTTCAGTCATTCTGAGAAAACCTACATTCCTTATCTTCCCTCAGTATTACCCGTGTCTGCTCACCACCTGGTCTGAATCCTGAGATTTAATATATGTAAGTGTCTGAAAAGCAGGGTTCATTCTGCCAGTGACCCATGTTTATTCAACTCTGCATAATAAAATAAAACAGATAACCCATTTCCTCTGAGAAAAACAGTTGCTGGTATCCATCTTGTGCCAATTCTGTACCTCTGTCACACAGTGACATTTAAGAAGTCAGTGAAGATTGCAAAACGACAGGAGAATACCAGTAAAACCCCAGTTCCTTTCCGGCCCTTTCCTTCCTGTCTAAAAGCAGCGAATGTCTTCTGAGCCCCTTCTCTCCCATTTGCCCTCCCTCCCTCCTTCTCTTCCACTCCCTCAGTTCTGCTCACCCAAACATTCACAGAACCTAATTTTGGCTTCTGAAAAAGCCAGACCCAAAATTTCTTCACCAAAAGATGCCCTTTTACAATAAAGGAAAAAGAAAAAAAAAAAAGCTTACCAGCCATGGCTTTTCACCCTTAGTCTTAATGTGTGATATGAAACTGAAAGCATGTGTCACCTTCCTTTTCAGGAGGACCTGACTATTGAGAAATACCCACTGCTCATGCATATGCATATGCATTCGTGTATGGTTTTTTTCAAAGAAATAATCAGATTGTTTAACCTTGCACCAGGGAGAATATTCTTGGGAAATTTTCTTCACCAGCACTTGAATCAAGTCAGACTAGGAAGGGAGTGGGGCCTAGAGAAAAAGAAAGGAATTAGAAAACATGTATACTATTAAATTCACACAATAATGAATCTTCCATCCTTTAGGAAGTGTGATCTAGAAAAGTAATTCATCCTTTGGTATCTTACACAATTCAGGGCGATATAACAAACTACCACAGTCTGGGCGGCTTATAAACAAGGGACATTTATTTCTAACAGTTCTGCAAGCAGGAAGTCCAAGATCAGGGTTGCGTTGTAGTGAAGGCCCTTTTCTAGGTCGCAGACTGCCAACTTCTCACCATGTCCTCTCATGGTGGAAAGGGTGTAGCACCTCTCTGGGGTCTCTGTTATAAGGGCACCAATTTTATTCATGAGGGCCTTATCCTCATGATCAATTCAGCTCCCAAAGGCTCCACATCCTAATACTGTCACCTCGGCCATTAGGTTTTCAACACATGAATTTTGGAGGGACACAGGCTTTCAATCTATAGCATTTGGATAGCTGAACAACTGTGAGCCATGCCCCCATCACACAGCTCTGGGCTGTGTCTCAGAAGTATGTGTCCCTGAGAAGCAGTTCTGCTATTAGGAATGGAAACGTTTTTTCACCAAAATCAAATATTTTCTTATTTAACACTTTTTCCTTTTAGATTGCTCTGTTTTGAGGGACACTGTAGAGTGTAACAGATCAGGCTCTGGATTCAGAATGTCTGACTTAGCATTTTAACTTTCTATTCTTAGGCAGGTTAACTTTCCCATGCTTTGGTTCCTCTATTTGTAAAATAATCTCATCAATAGCCTATACACACCTTTGAGCATTAAATTAGTGAGAATTTGGAAAATTTATAAAACATTGCCTGGCATGTCATAAGCACACAATATTATAATTGGTTATTATTGCTATTATTATTAATATAAATATTTCACACTAGAAAAATAGCCAAGGTTAATTATTTGCAGGTTTTCTAGTTAAATTTCTTTTTTGTGAGAATCCATCTGCATCTCATTCATTCACTTAGCAAATATATATGGATGACCTACTCCATGTCAGAGACAGTTCTGGGTGCCCGGGTTCAGTTGAATCAGACAGTGGTCCCTTGCCCTCATGCCTTCGTATTCAAAAGAGGAGATAAACATGAAACCCAATGTGTAACTGGGATATTAGAATGTTAGAGCATGGTAAGTGCTAAGGAGAAGAAATCAATTAGATAGTGGGTTATGAAATATTGGAGGACATTAAAACTGAAGACAGAGGAGACCAAGAAGGCTTAAAGAGTTCATTGCTTTTTGTAAGCACATGTTCAGTTGCTTGTCTCAGAAAAAACTCAACATAGCCAATTATTTCATAGATATGGCTATTTGAAGATAGAGTAATAACAAAATGCCTATTAATCCTTCAAAGATATCAGTGTGTTTACTAAAAATGCCCTTAGGGTTATTACCTTAGTTCCTTAAGAGAATAAGTACCCAGAGTTACTAAAGTATTCAGTGAGAGCCTGTGTGTGTGTGTGTGTGTGTGTGTGTGTGTGTGTGTGCGCGCGCGCATAGGAGTACATGCGTGAAATATCTCAATTACATATTAGTAGATTTATTACTATTGTTTTGAAACTCTATACAATTAAAAACAAACTTGTATTTGACATGTTGGATACCAGTTTGCTGCTTATGCTCTAGGCTAAATGTTAAATTCACGGTTTACATTTTAATCTAAAGTTTTCCTCAGGGTGCTTCTTTCTTTCCTTGGCTACCTACCTAATCCAGTTTGCAGCACAATCTTGTGCTGCATGCCTCAGGGAGCCTTGTTGCAGGAGAGAAAGCAGATATTGCATGTGCCTTCTCCTACATATTTAAATTTATTCATTTATTTCTGAATGCCTTAAGGATTTCCCGTGAGGGTTTCTCCTCCAGGAAGGGCCACACACTACTGAGATGAAGCATGTGAGCTGGCATTTAAACTGCAGAAAGGATGGCCAGGCAACATGTCTGGAGATGTAGAACCATAAGCATTGACACTGGGAAGCTAAGTAGAGAGCCACTACATAGCAAGGGCCCACTGTGTCCTCAAAAATGAAGATGCAAAAAACTGGAAACATTCCAAATGTCCAATGAGATGCATGCGTGAGTAAACAAATTGTGCTACATGCATACACTTAAGTACTACTCAACAATAAAAAAGGAGCAAATTATTGATGTAAGTAATAACCTTGATGAAACATTACACTTACATGAGTGAAAGAAACCATATAAAATAGAATACATACCCTATGATTCCAGTTATGTGAAGCTCTAGAATAGGAAAAAGTAATGTATTCTGATAGAAATCAGATCACTAATTGCCTAAGGAGGAGGTGCAGAGAAATTGAGTGCAAAGAGCATGAGGGGACTTTCTGGGGTGATGAAAATATTCTGCATCGTGATAGTGTTAATTCTACATAATAAATTTGTCAGAAATAATCCGATCATGTTTTTTAAAGAGTTACACTTTATGTTATGTAAATTTTACCTCAATAAGATTGAATTTTGAAAACTAAAATCAATGGTTGTAATAATAGACTGAATTGGGAAGTATTTTCTTTCCTTGTTTTTCTGGATGTACTCAGCAAATCAATTGAAACTGTGGTAAGAGAATGAGCTTCCTGTAGTGACTGAATGGAATTACCTACAGTTGGATGGAGATTTGTAAACAAAATGGAAATAAATTATAAAAATGATCAGTTTATCAACTAACATATGTACCTAGAAAATAGTATTACAAAGGTAGACTATTATATACATAAAATCATCATAAAATAAATTAATGGACCTCTCCAAAGTAGTGTTTTAAGGAAGCATACTGATTTAAAAATTCTTATGTCACAAGTACCTGTGATAGCCTGTCTGCACAACAAAACCATTTTTATTAACAGTAGATAGTGTGAAAAGCTCTTACATAGAAGGCAGATCTTGTGCTTGTGTTCTAGTGTGCCATTTTCAACCGTTAGAGAAAGTCACTTATTCTCTCAGTTCATTTTTCTCTTATTTTTCTTTTTTTATATATAATTTTAGGGCTCTTAGAACATCGTGATAATACATCTTAGTGAGAGCATTTACCAAATATAGCATGGTATTTTATTTTTCCTTCATCTAAAACCTTCTCTTCCATACAGCTTATCGACATGGACTTTGAGCTCCAATAGCCTTGGGATAAGATTGTGTTCGTTATCTGTAGGTCTTAGACAGTGTATTTAACATCTCAAAGCTTTTGTTTCCTCAATCAGAGTGTGTGTGTGTGAGGGTCAGGTGAAAGGTCATAATTGGTCTTACTTTCTAAGATGAAATGGTACGGGTAAAGACTATGCCAAAGTGCTTTCCATCATGAGTACCAGAGGCAAGGAACTGTCAAAATATTTTTCTTTGTAAAGTGCTCCTGAAATATTCTTATGCTTTATTTCATGGCCTGTCATGACAAGTGTGTGAGTTAAACAGGTTAAATAAACAATGATTCCATTGTATGAGTAAGAATACCAGGTAAATAGTTGATTCAGAGACTTGGCAAACACACAGTGCAGAACTTGCATGTGAAGACATCTCTCCTTCACATAATGATATTTAGGTCAATGATAGGTCACATATATGACGGTGGTCCCATAAGATTATAATGGAGCTGAATTTCCTATAGAAAATGGAAGTCTTTGTGGTTCAGGAGAAACCTTGTTTTCTCTGACAGAAGCTATATTCATGGAGCATGGCAATGGAACCCTCACTCACAGCACCTGGATTTTGGGTGCACAGATCACATCCTAGTCAGTCAGTCACTGACCTGTTTCCGCATAGACAAGCCCATTCCCCAGGACCACATATCCAGGTCCTCAAGGTACATTGCTATAAATTCTTTGTAAAGGACCTGAGATCCTCTACAAGGACACAGGTCCACAGGAGCTACGATACCAAATATTGAATGCCACTGCCACTTCAGTGAAAGCTTTCTGTGGCTGTGTGGGGCCAGCCTGTCCCTGAACTTTGGAAGTATTTTCAGGTTGTAATGATGTGAAGCATAGATAAGTTTTATTTCTTCCATCACTACAATGCCAGAGGGAGCCCTTTGTGCCTAATAGCATTAATGGAACCAAAAACAAATTTCCAAAGTCAAAATACTGATTCCTCAGTTCTATACCCTCTTCATGTTAAGCATCCTTTTTTTTTTTTTTAAATTCATACCACAGATTTCCTTAATCTAACCACTGCTGCAACATGCAGGAGCCAAAACCACATCACAATGACCATCCCCTATGCTTTTTTTTTCTCTTCATCTCGATTTCTTATTCCTACTGAGTCTCAGATCACCTTTCACTCCCTCCTGACAGTCACTGTTATGGTGATCAGTGCCTTACTCAGCCAGTATCTCCTCCATATTTCCAATCAATCCAGCCCATATTTCTATGCATAGAGCAGCACTGCCAGCTTCAGTGTTCTATTTCTGACCCTGGTGAAAGAACGCAGGGGGAGGGCTTGAGAGACAGTGCTTATAAAGCCTAGAGTAGTGTACAATAAAGTCCTCGGCATTCACATTCACTCACCACTCACTCACTGACTCACCCAGAGCAAATTCTAGTCCAATAAATTTCATTCACGGTAAGTGCCTACACAGGTGTACCGTTTCTTAAATCTTTTATACCACTACTGTACCTTTTCTATGTGTGGATAGTTTAGATATTCAGATACTCACCACTGTGTTACAATTGCCTACTGCATTCAGGGCAGTGACGTGCTGTACAGGATGTAGCCTAGGAGCAATAGGCTGCACCATGCAGCCTAGGGGTGTAGCGGGCTGTACCATCCAGGTGTGTGTAAGTCCATTCTGGGATGTTCACACA